TCAAGCTTCCCACAGCACTTCTTAACTCTAAACCCAACCTCTCAGCTGAGAATCTTACATGATACTTCACTAAAAACATTTAGTACATTTGCAGAAAGCTGTTCTTTCTCCTCTCATTCAGACATCGTTCCTTACTATCTGACTCCTCTTTCACTTCAGTTTTGGATAAAAAGGTGGCCATCCTCTTTGCTATGGCCGACTCCTCTAGGTCACTTCCAGAACTGTCCAGCAAATTGCCCCCACCATTCTCCCCATTTCTTTGTTATCTTTAACTTCTTGCTAGCTACTGGCTTTGTCCTTGATGCTTATAAACATATTTGTGTCTCCTCTATCCTTAATTAACCCTCACTTGATCTGACCATCCCCACTAGCTATCATCCCATATCTCTCCTCCCCTTTGTGGCTAAACTTTTTGGTGTTTCTATTTCCTTTCCTCTACTTTCCAAACTCTCTGCAATCTGCTTCCCAGTCTCATTCTTCAACCAAAACTGCCCCCTCCAAAGTTACCAATGATTTCTGATTACCAAATCCAATGGCCTTGCCTCAGTCCACATATTCTTGATCTCTCTCCAGCATGTGACACTGTTGATCCTCTCATCCTTCTGGATACTCTCTAGATTTTCATGACATCACTCTCTTCTGGTGCTTCTTATGTCGCTCTGAGCCTTCTTTCTCAGTCTCCTTTGCTTATTCTTCATCCATGTCATATCTACTATTACCAAGGTTCTATTGCTTCATCAGCTCCACTGAGTTCAACTATCACCTCTATGCAGATCATTTCCATATTCAGCCCTAGTCTCTTTCCTGAGATAGTCACTTATCTCCAACTTTCTCTTGTACATCTTGAACTGGATGTCCCTTGGAATTTCAAACTCAATATTACCTTTCCACATAAACCCTTCCTCCATGCTTCCCTATTATTCCTAATTACTCAGGCTCTCTGACAACTTTGTGTCATCCTTGACTTTTCTTTGTCACTCATTTAAAACATCCAATCCATTGCTAAATCTTGTTGTTGCTATTTTTACATTTTTCATATAAGCCCCCCTTTTCTCTATACATAGAGTAACAACCCTAGTTTGGATATTCATTACCTCTCACCTGGGCTGCTGTAATAGTCTTGTAACTGGTTATGATGGGTGTTTGGCTGCTTGTGCTTGGACCCCAATTTCTCCCTAGCCTCAGAAACACTATCCCTGACAGTTTCTCCCCAGCCCAAGGACACTGTGCTTAGCAATTACTCATGAGTGGGCCCCAGCAAGACCCTTATCTCTTTCCCTGGTACAGTTACAAACAGTACCTGAAGGAATTATTAGTTTAAACTGGCTTTGCACTGGGTCATAAAGACATTCTTACCCACTGGACTATCTATACTACCGCCCTACCTCATTATCTACATCCTGGACTCCTCATTAACTGTATTCTAGACTTAAGAGATATGTATACTCCCTACATTTATCTTGTCAAACAAGACATTGACTGGTGGCAGACTGGACAACTCTCAGTTGTCCCTGAACGCTAGTTAACTTAGTGAAGGTTTTAGTAGCAGGCCTAAAACCACACCTTCATGTGGCCCCCCTTGTGGTCTTTTCCTAGTGAACTCTGGGTGAAACGCCTGTGCAGTAGGCACAAGAAGTGCATGTTCTTTTAAGAACTGACCACTCCTTAGCCACTCCCTAATCCCACCTTTAATCACCTAGTTAGCATATTTGGCACATGTTTTATTGTATTTTATCCTATATAAACTTTAACTGTACCTCTTTAAGGTTGCAGGATCCTTAAGAATCCTTGCCCACTGAAAAGTATAACAATAAACTTTTTGCCAATTTGACTTAAAGAATGCTTGGGTCTGTGAATTCATTCTAGACAACCCCGTCATGTACTTCAGTGTTTGAGGGGTCACTACCTCTCAGACTACAACAGTTACCTTGCTTCAAGTCTTTCTCCATTGGCTGCCAAGGTGATTTTTCTGAAGCATAGATATGATCATCTTATCTCCCTTGCTCAATGAATTCCTGTGGCTCCCCATTTCCTGAGGGATAAAAATGTAAAAAGTCTTCTGTTTGGCATTTAAAGCTCTTCATAACTTGGCCCCTTCCTATTTTTCTTGTTTCACATTTAACTTTCCTCCATGAACTCCCTCCAGCGTCAGTGATCTACTTGCATTTCCTTGAATACAACACATCCTGTAAGTATTGTTATCATCATCACCATTATTATTGATATCTCATCTCCATGCCTTTGTATCTGCTATCCTTTATTCCTGGAATGTTCTGCCCCCTCACCTCTCCCTCTTGTTATCTTTCAAGACTCAACTCTAGTACTACATTCTTCAGGAGGTTTTTCCTGGTCCCCCAATTGCTAATGCTTCCCCTTTCAAATAACTCTCCATTTATTCTCTAGATATTTTTAGTGTACCTAGTCCTAGCTATTTACATGTTGTTTTCCAACTGGAATGTATGCTTCTTGAAGGCAGGAACTATTTTACAGATAGATGATATGTAGCAAGGCTGTCCCTCATATGTAGCAAGGAAGTGCCCTGCATGGCTCAAAGGGAGACAGAATAGACATCTCTAGCCTCTTGTTCCACCCCCACCCCACTTCTCCTAGGGTTTGTTGAACAGATTCTCTCCACCAGGAGAGGAAGCAGAAAGTTGAGGGCAGAGGCTGACTACTTGGCTCTGCTCAAAGAGAAGAACTGGTCTAGAATTACAGCTACCTGCTCCCTTAAACATTACTGGTCTAGAGGATGTAGTTTTTGGGTTCAAGCAAAATTTTAATTGCTGTTTCATCAATAGGGGAAAAAGGACCCAAGTTTTATATCCAAGGTTTGATTCCCTTCCTACCAAATACCAGTTCTACAAGGAACACACACACCAAGTAGTAAAGAAATCCATTTATCCAAGTACATAGCAAAACAGAAATCAGAGAAGGTATACACAGGAGAATTTATACCAGACAATACAGAGTGAAGGAGATCTCCCCAGTTGGAGAGAGCAAGACAGAGTCTTCTATCTCACCTAAGGGGGAATAGTAGCAAACTGGATAGGGACAGGATAGAGATTGCTAGCTCCTCTCATGTTGGCCTCTTCCCAGAGACCTATTCTCTCTTCAGCAACCTGAAGTAGAGTTGGCATTGCCCATTTTTTTCTCTTGAAGCTGGCAGACAGAAGCATCCAAAATGACTGCAGACTTGAAGAGATAGCAGCTCTCCCCTTTTCTCTGCAACTCCACCTCACTCCTCACAGAGGTGCAGCACACTGATCTCCACCAATGAGGAGAGAGACTCATGCCACTGGCTTTGGGACTTAGAATGCAGCTAGAGACAGATACATAGAGCATTTATTAAGCACTTACTACGTGCTAAGTGATGGGGATACAAAAATAAGAAAACAAGACAGTCCCTACTCTCAAGGAATTTATATTCTGATAGAGGAAGACAAAACATAAAGGGAACTGATGGGGATGGGATCTGGACCCCTAAGAGGGGTCCCTAAAAGGAAAAGACCATGTCTTTGGGACCTGGCCCTGGCCCATTCCAGTCAATAATCCTTTTAACTGCACTTTCACTGGGGCTCTCTTGCCACTTAACTCCCTCTATTGTCTGCACCTGGCCCCACCCCAGGCTACTTGACACCTCTTAATCCCTTCCAGATCTTCCCACAGTCTTTCTGTATAAAAGTACCAATTTTATCCTCATTAAATTGCTCATATTCTTAAAATCTGGAGAGCTTATATTGGTATCACAAATAGCAGACTGACAATCTTGCCCACTCCAGTAGTTTTACCAAACTCACAACTTGGACTGAAAAAAGGCATGAGTGGGACAATTCTTTTGAGGCAGACCCAACGCCCTTTACCCTTGCATTTCTGGCTTCCCAAGACCCCTAGATAGCAACAGAATCTTGAAAGGGGGAGGGGAGAAAGAACTCACACCAAAGCAGCTAATGGAGTTGGAACAGACCTCAGTTAGAAGCAATTGTTTTTTTTAATATCCTCAGTGACTGGAATATAGTATGTGCTTAATAAATGCTTACAATGCAGTCTAACCATCAACATTTGTTTCTATCTATGGAACATGGTGCCATTTTTTCCTAACTTTAATCAACAATGGTTTAAGATCGTATTCCTGACCCTTAGAGATAAGGGGTTTTATCAAATGATTCCAATGTTTAGTAAAGTCTTATTAATAATTATATCCTGCAGGGGATGCTGCAAGACCCCAAATGAAACCATTTTCCTAAAGACATTTGATTGAAGGAATTGCCTCATGGCTCGGTGGGCCTGCTTGACCCTATGGTTTATCTTAGCAGTTTCAAACCCTGTTTAGGTGTCAAAGGTTTCCTATGATCCTAGACTATAGCAGATTTGAAAACAGATAAAGGCATGATCTCATAGGGATACACAGCACATTCACAGATAACCATGACATATATCATAGGTCATGATAGGTACATAAAAGTACCAAGTATCACTCTAAACCATATTTACTATTACTATACTGTAAACTCTTTGAGGACCAGATCTTATTTATTTTGTTATCTGCTCCAGTCAAATGTGTGACTTATGCAAGAAACGAATGATCAGAAAAGGAGAAAGGCCAGGAGTGGACAAATAGACAACCTGGGTGCTGTACTGGAAGCCACGAAATGTAAAATTACCCCCAAGGTCTACGGATCCTGGATTCAGGGTTAGAAGGAATTTTGGGATAAACTGGGGACAATGAAGCTTTAAAAAGTTTAAATGCTTTGCTCGAGATTACAGCTAGTAATCTGCAGGGGTCTGTGATGCTAATTTGGGTCCCGCCTCCCTCAATCCAGGATGAATGGGAGGGCGTGGATAAAAATTCCCTAGGGTGGATTATATTCGGGGGGCACTGCGAGGTAGTCCCCAAAGGGATGACCTCAGAATAGACTAGTTGTTACTATTTTTGTATCCGTCCCCACCAGGCATCCCCCCTTCCAGACTTCCCACTTATGGTCACGGAGAGATGCTCTGGTCCTCCCCCACATCCCACAGCCGGCCATCCCCACCCCAGCTGCAGGAAAATCCCGGAGCCGCGGAACCCTTGGCCTGGAATTCCTCCGTGCGGCAGTGAACCTTCTGATCTGGGCATGCTCAGTAGTCAGTGAGAGGGAGGAGGGGAGAAAGGCTCTCCTCATCCCCGCCGGAGGAACCCTCTTGCCCGAATCCGGCTTCAGGCTCCACCGTGGCAGAAGAGCAGACGGCAAGGGCGACGGCGCCCTGGAGACCAAAGAGAGATGGAAGCGGAGGCGCCGGCGTCGTCCCGGTTGGTGGAGGAAGAACTAGGTGGGTGCTTGCGGGGGCGGCAGTTCTGCTGTTCCCCGGAGGACTGCGCGTGCCGGGGGCGGAGGCGAGGCGAGGCCTTTGGTGGGGGGTGGGCGCCATTGTTTGGGATCATCCCCTGTTTCCTCCGAGTGGTACCTCCCTGGGGGGGGAATGTGTGGCGGCCTCTTAGGAACCTACCATCCTGGGAAGCGGGGGTGGTAGGTGGAAGGGTGGGCGGAGAGAGGGAGCGCGAAGGGAGGGGAAGGACCAAGAGGAGGATGCGCGGGCTGCCCTGGGGCCCGGGCTGGGGCTCGGGCGGACTGGAGGGGAGGAGGCGGAGGTGCTGCTCGCTCCCCGCTGTGCTCTCCTTCGGACCCGGCTTCGTTTTCTGGCCCTTGGTGAGAAGGGGGAGCGGAGTTTTTCGGGGACAACGAAGATTGGGTGTGAAAAGAGAAAAAGCAAACAAACCCTGCCGGATTTTGTCCTCAGCAAGAATGAACTTGAACTCGGGGCCCAGGACGGGACTGGAGCCATTTGTTTGCAGAGGGCAGTGAACTGGGCCTTGGTAAACAGCCTCCACCAGAATATAGCAGGCTTTTGTTTTTTTCAAACTGAAGGCAAAAAATCTTATCTGAGACCCCACCATTTCTTCGGATGAGGCTTTGAAAGAAGCCTTCGTTTTTCTTTTTGAATTTTGCTTGGCCATCTGAAGCAACTCTAAGAATTGTCCATTTTCTTACCACCCAGTGACTTGAGTGAATACGCGAAGTGTGATTTTTTTTTAAAGTGTGTGTTTGTATGTGTGTAGTGGTGCAGGGTGGATTGACTTCTGCTGTTGGCTAGCCTTTGATAAAGATGAGACTCAGCTGTAAAAAAGAAAAAAAAAACTAAGGACCAGTTCTTTGTGGTTAAATGGCCTGTTACCTAGCCAAATACAATAAATTTTAAAAGTCCATTTAGTCCATCATTGATAATAACAATAGTAGCTGATGTTTATATAAGGCCTGTTATGTGCCAGGCACTGGGCTAAGTAAACACTTGACAGTTATCTCATTTAATCAAGTATAACTTTTAGGAAATAGAACAGGAAAAGGTCTTTAAAAAAAACTTTAATTATCTTAATTAAAATTAATATAAAATTATAAGATTATATATAAAAATAATTCTTTTATCTTATGATTACTGTACATAGTGATAAGTAAAGGTGATCTACTTCATTGGGTTGAGAACTGATGAGGTTTCCATTTCAGCTTCTACCAAACACTTGAATTATGATTTCTTTATAAACCATCTTTCTTTGCTGTGCTTTGGGAAATGAAGATAAATGATTGTGGTTCTCATCTGTGTCATAAAGTTCTTGATTAAATATGCTGGAGACAATTTAAAATGAATCCTCCTACCTACATAATAAAATGAGAATGGACTTTGTTAAACCATTTTTGTTGTTCAGTTGTGTCTGACTCTTTCTAGAGTGGTTTGCCATTTCTTTCTCCAGCTTATTTTACAGGTGGGGACACAGGCAAATAGGTTAAGTGACTTACCCAGGGACACACAGCTAGTAAGTGTATGAGACCCAGTTTAAACTCAGGTCTTCCTGACTCCAGGCCCAGCTATCCACTGTACCACTTAGCTGCCCTAGAAGCAAAATAGAGTTAAACAATTCAGCCTTCTCACTATATGTTATTCTATTTCTTCTTTGAGTCTTCTTTGTATTAGACTTAAGTATTTATCACCAGCCTCAGTTCATTCTGAGCTTTTCATGCTATTCTTACAGGACTTTGATTCTCTTTCATATTTATTCTCAGTTGCTCCTTTCCATCTTCTGCAAATGTCTTTAAAAAATCGAGGTTGATTGATTAATTTCTCTGTACATTTACACCATTCTCTTTAGGCAGCTCTGCCTTTTCTCCCTTATTGCAATAAATTCTTCTGTCTTCAGAATTAAATTCTCAAGGAGCTTTTCATCCTTCTTGGGCTGACTCTCCGTGCAAGATATTGCACCTTCAGACCCTTCGGACCCTACTTATTCTTTCTCTGAACCCTCTGAAAGGATCTGAGATTTTAACAGTGTGATTATTCCCTCTAGTGATAATGGATCACAGTCCATCCATTCCTACCTGCCTGTCATATGTGACTCATCCATCCCCTCTGTAAATATGCTGCAGAAAGTCCATCCAATGTGTTGAGGGCCTTCCTTGCTTTTCTTGACATTACACTAGTAGAATACATGAGCCTCACTTGCTGTGTCACTAGCTCGTTGTCTTTTTCATGTTTCTTTGATGATAACCTTTACACTCTTATTCTTCATAATTCTTTGTAATGTGTTACAACGTAGTCACACCTTCCCTGTGCCTCTTCTGTACCCTTGGGTCATTATTTTACATTTCATTTCTTCAGAGTCTGTTGTCTTTCATTACTCACAGCTATATGACATTGATATAATATTGGTGTTAAAAAGATGGTCCTTTGTTTCAAGGAGAATCTTGTGGTGGTTTTTTTTTTTAAATTCAGTTTCCCAAGGGTTATCTAGGTTTCTTTTTTTCTTCAGTAAGTGGCCCAAGTCATTGTCTATTTACACTATCCGAGACATGTAGTTGGAAAAGCTCTATAGGTTGTCCGTCCTATTGCCTATTATAGTCTGGCAGCAGATATTCTTTATCCACTTATTTTCTGCACATGGGTTGTTAGGCCAGGTTTTTTTTTGAGGGACCGTGGATCTCAATTAGGAAGCCTTGCGGTTTTCCAGGGCTTGATATAATCACTGGAATGTCATTAGGTGTTATGTAGGATCTCCTCTGTGACAGTGGTGAATTTAGGGAATGTGTATCTCCTTTATTTATTTTTCACTTAATATTAACGATCAAAGGATAATTGAATTAGCATAGCTTCTGTTACTCATTTCAAGGAATTGTGTATAATTTTCACATCCATCCTTGTTGGAGGAAACTTTAAGATAGTGGTTTACTCTACTAAATTAGGTGTTAAAAAAACCACAGTAAACAAACAGTAATTTCAGTGAGATCTTGTATTTTCTATATCTTTAAGTCAATTGTTATGATAAATCTCCTGTGGAATATCCCTTATAAAAGACTCCCTGTTCCCTTCTAATGCTCTTATTGAGGATGCCCTTTTTACATGTGTAGATTATTCTTTTAAAAATTTTATATTGATGAACCTATAGGCATATGGGTCAACATCTGTTGATGTTTTCTTAGTTATCTGTTTTAACAGTATAAAGTCAAAATTTTTTCCATGCTTTTGGTATCTTCTTCAGATACCTTGAGAATTGTTTCCTCATTGCCTTCAAAATTATGTCATCTCCAGCATGGACCTTGTCTGTATATACTTTATCTAATCCAACTGCTTTTCCTATATTTGTTTTCTTCAGTGCCATTTCTATTTTCTCTCTAAGTTTATCTAGGGATATAATGATAAGAATCAACTGTAGTTTCTCTAGTGTCCTTGATAGTGAAAAGAACCCTTTAAAAGCCTTTTTTCTTCCATTTTTATCTATTGTCCTTCCAGTTTCATCCTTAAATGCTTTTAAGAGGACCCTTCTCTTGCTCCTCCATTGATTCTGATCCAAGTGCACTCTGCCACGTGCCTTCTCTGAAATTTCTGGATTTCCTCATGAGTATATCTTTTAAAAATATAATACTATTCCATGGCCCCTTTTTAATCTATCCTCTTCCTGTTGAATAATGTATGCTCTTTCAGAGTCATATTCTTGTCATGAGTTCTATCTCTCTAGTGCTTAGTATACCTGTGAAGTCAGATTTGCCTATTACTCTCATCTATAATCTATGATGTCTAATACTTGTACTTTGTGCTTTTGTTTATAGACATCTGAGTAGACAGAGGGATTTTATTATTAACTTTCTTCTTGGATGTTATTTCCTTTGAAATTAGCCTTTACTGCTATGCTTCCTAAGCTTTTCTCTATGGCATTAGGCTTAGTATATTTGGGCTGTTTTCTCCTTTCCCCTTCCTTTTTAATTCAAAACTGTCTTAATCATGTAGGCTTAGGTAACTAATTACATATGAATGGTAAGAAGAGGGAAATGTTAAAGATGACACTAAGATTCATAATGTGGGAAACCACTTGAATTGTGGTGCCAGAAATAGTGAAGTCAGATTAAGGAGGAGATTTTGAGGGGAAGGTAATAAGGTTAGCTTTAGAAATGCTGAACTTGAGGTGCTAGTGGGTAATCTAAATGGGGATCTTTGATAGGAAGTTGAAGTTAAAAATCTCACAGGAGAGGTAAGGGCTGGAGACATAGATGATAATAATAATCATAGCCAGAATTTATATAGTGCTTTAAGGTTTACATAACACTTTATACATATATCATTTTATCTTCGTAACTCTGGGAAGTAGGTGTGCTTATCCCTATTTTACAGATGAGGAAACTGAGGCAGACAGAGGATAATTAACTTGTTGAGCATCACACAGGTAGTAAGTGCCCGAGACTAGATTTGAAAACTGGTCTTCTAGACTCAAGGTCTCACCCTGTATCAGCTGCTTTGCTTTATCGGCCTCAGGAATTACCTTCCTAAAGGTAGTAGTTGAAATGTCGAAAGGAATGAGATGGCCAAGGGAAATGGTGTAAAGAGAGAAGAGTGGAGACAAAAGAAACACTCTTGGAAGAATGCCATGATTAAGAGATTGGGAAGGTGATTGAGTGGATGAGTACAAAAGAAAGACTTAAATTTCATTGACGTCCCAGACCAAAAAATCATTATTGTATATAAAATTAATTGGAAAAATGGAAACAATTATCAAATAGAGGCTAGATGTCAAGTTGTCAAAGGACTTAGATGGAATCCACGATTTATCAGGGTGGAGGTGGTGTGGGGGAAACGAAATCACAGTATCATAGAATCAAGAAGGGTCTCGGAAGCCATTCGGGCCAACTCATACCAGAATACCCTTCTACAACATCCCAAGAAGTGGCTCTCCAACCTTTGCCTAAAGATCCCCAGTGAAGGGGAACCCACTACCTTACAAGGCTTTGGGATAG